TGTGAGAAGGAAGGGATATATGCTTTTTTGTTAAAATAATATTATATGTTTGCTGTTGAAGAAAAAAATCCAGACTACTTAACGTTGTTTTAGTTAAATAAATAATTTAAAATGTTTGTCTGGTGATGTTCTCCTCCTAATACAGTGTGGCAAGAAAATCCTCCAAATATTAATGATTAACCTGCTGAATTGGAGATGGTTCACCTCCCAATGACTTCATAAATATCTGCTTCAATTACCTTTGGTAAATGAAATAACCAAACAATCATTAATATTCTGATATAGCTGTAAAACTAATCTAAAAAGTTTTCAAAATAAATCACTGTTTAAGTATAGTGTGTACCTTCTAAAAATGAAACCTACATCTATCTCTGAGTTATGAAGAATATGTATTAAGGTTATAACAACCAACAAGAATGCACTTTTATGTAGAAAACCATGATTAAATCGAGCCTTCCTGACTAGTCATTTAAATCATGATTTAAATCCACCCTGACTTCAAGCCAGGAGATGCTGCAGCACACCTCCCTTCACCTCTAGTTTCAGCACCTATGGACTTCTGCACAGACTAGCAACGTGAAAACGTACTCGTGTCCCTGCATAGGTTTACAGAGCCTGCATTGAAGCCAGCGCTGCTGCATCTTCAGTGCTATTTTTAGCTGTACTAGCTGTTATGCCTGGGGGAATTCTGCGCCACTGCGAAATGCAGAATTTGATGTTTCCCCTGCAGAATTGGTGGCCATTAGGGGCATTGCAGCTCACAGAGCACCAGCCCGGTGGGGATGGAGGCTCTGCAGCCTTGTTTGATCCTCATCCGCCCGTGGACGGGAGAAGGCCTAGGAGTCCTGGCTCTGGCAAAGGGTGAGGAAGGGCACCGCGTCCCCACGGGGGATAGTAAAGAAGCTCGGGGGAGTACAGGTCCTGGGAGAGGGGGGTGCAGGTGTCTGTGCCAGGAGGTGCCTCGTAGCTGGGCTCTGGGGGGAGCGGAATGCAGTTGTCGGTGGCTGGGCTCTGGGGAGAGGGAGGTGCAGGTGCCTGGGCTTTTGCGGTGCCCTGCAGCTGGGCTGTGGGGGGAGGGAGGTGTGGGCATCTGGGCTCTGGGGGTGCCCTGCAGCTGGGCTCTGGGTGTGGGGGGGAAGAGGGTTCTGGAGCTGGGATATGCTTCATAGCTGGACTCTGGGGGGAGGGAGTTCAGGTATTTGGGCTCTGGAGGGGGCCCACACAGCCCCCTCCAGTATGCCCCCAATTGGGTTTCTTTAACTCTCTACTCCTGGGGGAATATTTTTTCATTGTCATCTATATTGTTGACATACTTGCTGACAGGTATTTTGAAATAAGTTACCAAAATAATTGAAACTGGAGTGATTATATTGTGCTATTGACAAATAAAATATGCAGAATTTGGCAGAATTTCAAATTTTGTGCGCAGAATTTTGAATTTTTTTGGCACAGAATTTGCCCAGGAAGTATGTCTAGTGGTAGTATGTCTACAAAAGCTGCTATTGGACCTTTGACTGCAGCATAGACATATCCTTATGGGACCAATCACAAACCACAATCCTAACACAGGCTGGAAATTGTTCACATACTCTTCAGTGTTTGCTGAATTTTGTAACTCATACAAATCAGGATAGAAATTGTGAAATGTTTTTATTATTCATTGAAATTCTAAAAAAAAAAAAATGAATAAAGAGGGTTAATAATCAAGTTTTTTTTAGTTGGGAACCACATATCTGCCAACATAACTGCAGCCTAGAATTTAAGATTGAGGATAATTTCCGCAGAGAGTGCTTTTCAACCTGAATTATTCTATCCAGTAATTAAAGAGAACAATGCAAACTGGAGATATGGGGTTCTTCACCATATTATCAGTTGGCTGATGAAACTGGCCGATGTCTGTAGAACTTGGGCTACCTCCTCAGTTTTCACTACTACTTTTTTGTCTAGCCAGGATATAGCTGTAACCCCTCTCATTCAGCAATATGGGCGGGGCAGGGTGATTGTGACTCCCTGGTTGAGAATCCACAATACAGCCAAACTGTTCTTTTTCCTAACTGACCTTACTCTTACGCCTTCCCTCCTCCCAAAACACAATCAATGTGACACCATTTTTTATTTTCTGCTTTAAAAATCACAGCAAAACTTAGTTCCACTAATAGAAAATAGATTCTATTTCTAAATTTCTAGTAACAAAAATCACAGATGCAATGGGATTTGAACACACTCCCTTTGTAATAGAAAGCTGACAATTTAAACTCACATGTAGTGTCAGAGGCAGCGGCAGCTCCAGGTACCAACGCTCCAAGCGCGTGCCTGGGGCAGCAAGCCACAGGGGGCGCCCTGCCGGTCCCTGCGAGGGCAGCAGTCAGGCTGCCTTCGGCAGCTTGCCTGCGGGAGGTCCCCGGTCCCACGGATTCGGCGGCATGCCTGCGGGAGGTCTGCCGGTCCCGCGAATTCAGCGGCATGCCTGCGGGAGGTCTGCCGGTCCCGGGGATTCAGCGGCGGGTACGCCGAAGCCGCGGGACTGGTGGACCTCCCACAGGCATGTCACCAAATCTGCGGGACCGGGGACCTCCCGCAGACAAGCCGCCGAAGGTGGCCTGCCTGCCGTGCTTGGGGCGGCAAAAAAGCTAGAGCCACCCCTGGTCAGAAGGGTGCTTTCCTATGATGCTGTTTGAGGAGCTACCATCACAGTCCCCAGACAGCTTTCATCTCTGGGAATGCCACCAATCCAGGGAAGGTCTTATGTCAGGCTGCAGGAATGAGGAGCAGACTGTCATCATTACAGGGATGGGGAGGTGGGGGAAGGGATTACACTGATGGGCATTGCTGGGGGAAAGGTATGCCCCCCAACCTACCCAGGGTGTTGGGGGAATATGAGAGTGGGTAGGGATTTTGGGGGTGGTTGCAGATGGAACAATGGAGATTGGGAAATAGGAGGATAACCTAGTGCAATATGGGAGGGAATGAATCTTAGAGGCATGGGCCAGCACCCTTATCTACCCTTTGGCAACAACTGGAAGCCACTGCAGAGAGCTAGGGAGGAAGGGAGGAGTGCTTCACAGTGGGGAGGGGCAATGCAGAGTCAGAGTAAGTTTGCTGCAAAGAGAAGATACACTAACTAGGAGCTGGGGGAAATCACCATCCCTTTTTCCTTGTGCCACAGCTGTGCTAACCATGCTTGGGGACAGGGGACAGCCTCCCAGGCAGGTAGTTCTCTCTAAAAGAGCCAGCAAAGGCTCATTAGAGCAGCTGAACCTTTGACATGAGGAACTGACAGATAAAAGCCAGTTGTTTACCTGTAACCACTGTTTTTTGAGAGGTGGGTGCAGATACATATTCCACTCAGGTGTGCGTGCACCCAAGGGGAATACACGGCTGTGACCACTCGAAGAAGAGAAACCACATCAGCTCCAGCACTGGACTTCATGCTTCCCTTCCACAAGCTGGTCCGGCTGCTCCTATTCCTCTTCCTGTTTCCCAGGCCTTGGGGTTGGTCAGAAGAGGCTGGAGTTAGGCAACACAGCAGTTGGGCCTAGTGGCAGCATGGAACCATAGAGTTTACTGCTACAGCAAGTCCTGCTTTCCTAGACCTTCCTGTGGGTTGTCAGGGACACAGCTGCTCAGATAGTTCCTCAATGGACAGATATCCCTGTGAGGGAGACTACCCCAACCACAGAAAAGGCAGATGGGGCAAGGCAAACACCAACTGGGATACTCCCAGATTAGCTTCCCTTTTCTCTCAAGACAAGGGAAAATTGCTTGTCTACACATTGACCTCAAGAACTGTGGGAGCTTCTTCCAGTCCTCCTTGATTCCCAGGTCCAAAAGGCTTGTCTTACAGAGTGGGGCTAAGGGCTAAGCATAACAGCTTTAACTACGGTGCCTCGGTCATTGGTGTGTATTATAGTGCCTAGAGACCCCATTGTACAGGCTATAGTACAAACATAAAACAGAAGGGAGTCCCTGCCCCCAAAGAATTTACAATCTCAACACCTAAATTAATGCTCAATCAGTATTAACAGAGTCAATTATCACACGAGCTGGAGGATAGTGGACCCTTGCAGCGGAGCTCCCAGGGAGGGGGCACAGAGCCTCAGTGTGGATGAACCTGGCCTCTCCTAGCTCTTATTCCACAAGATCCATATGCAGGATCATTTGCAATTTTCAGAAAGTGGGGTAAGTGACGATAGGATTATAACAGAATTCTGCGGGGCCCATAGCCTTAACTATAGCACCCGGTACTATACATGGAGTTGGGGAGGAAGCAAATCCCCGAACCAGCAGGCAGTTAACAAATCAATACCTGGCAAACCTGCAGTAAACAAGACACCAATACATTTAATAATTATGCTTTTACCCACTGTTTGACCAGAGCCCAGAAATAGCTGTAGGTTGAGCACAGGATTCTTAGCGCAACAACAGTGTCTAACTTTTCCTTTTAAAGGTTGGAGTCTTAGACACCCAGAGTTGTTGCCTTGTCATGCTCAGCTGCTGCTGCTGATTTGGCTGAAGCAGCACCCTGTGAGTCTTTCTGGCAACTGTAAATGAACGCAGCTCCCTGCCTCCCCTCCATATCCGAAAAGAAAACCCTATGAAGTGACTTTTAGTAGACAAGGACACATGTTGGAGGCCTCAACATGTCCGCACTGTGCCCACTGGGGGGTGCCGTGTAACACGAGCAGCAGGGCCCTGCCGGACGGGTGGGGGCGCCGTGCCCCGCAGCAGGGAGGGCGCTGTGCTGAAGCGGGCGCAGACGGGTGGGCAGGGCAGACGCTGCTCACCCCGTGCCCATGTGCCCCGCACCCCGGCGGGGCGGCGCAGGCAGGAGCCTGCCACATGCACCCAGCAGCAGAGGCGCCTCCCTCGGAGCCCACGTGCGCCAGCCGGACTAGTCCGCGCCCCGCGGCGGTCGCCAGGGGCTCCCGGGGGGCAGAGGCTGAGCGGGGGGGGATCTCCCTTCCGCCGGGGCCCGGGCGGGAGCCCGCAGCGCCTCTTACCTTCACGGCCGGGGCGGCTGCGGCTGCAGCCATGTTTGCTAGAGGAAGGACGAGGAGGCGGTCCCGGCTCGGCTCGGCTCGGCTCGGCACTGCCCTCCCAGGCTCGCGCCGGCCGGGGGCTGCAGTCGGCGGAACGAGCCCCGCCCCCTGCTGCGAGGAGGCAGCCGCAGCCTCTGAGCAGCGCCGCCTCCCTGCTCCCTTGGCGGCTCCGCACTGCGCCGCCCCTCCACTCCAGTCTGCGCTAGCCCGGCGGGGTGGCTGCAGCCTGGTAGGAGCGGGCGCAACGCCGCCACGCAGGGCAGTCGGTGCTACCAGCTCTCAGGGCTCCCCACCCTGGCCACGTGCTTCCCCCGAGGGCCACGGGAGCCCGCCGGCTGCTCCCCAATGGGGCGCTGTGAAAACCTGCCCCTGGGACTCTATCTGCCTCCCCAGAGCGAGCAGACGCAGGCTGGCCTCGGCCAGGAGTACCAAGCCCTAGTGTACAAAAATGAGCCAGGCCTCCCCCCAGTCAGATTAGTTTACACATTACATTTTAAGGGTGTTTTTAAAAATCGCCTTCCGGTGTTGGGGTGATGAGGGTTTGTGTTTTCAAGCTTTTCTTCACAAGCATGAAGGCTACAAACTTGCTGTTAAAAAAAAATAAAAAAGAAAAAAAGCAACAAGCTGAAATTCTCACATAACAACCCAATTCCTGTACTTTCACAAAAGCACTAAATATCACAAGACTAGTGACTTTGAGGGTTGGCAACACACTTGATATTTTCCAGGAGAGAAACAACACTGTCCTGAACAAATGTGTCAGTCGTCTTGTTCTTATTCAAAGGGAAAAAGCATGAAACAGTTACGTTATTATTCAGGACTGGACTGTTCCTCGCCTGGAAAATGTGTAAGGAAAGGGTCCCCTGTTCCATTTGAGGACACAGATTCTGGAGGATAGATGTTTCACAGAATTACTATAAGCACTGCAGTGTGCAGAACAAGCCAAGAAGATGCTGTGACATTATTGACATGAACTGGGACCGTATAGATCATTGTTGTAACTGAGGTCCTGTAGTGGCACCAAATCTTGTATAAAGGGGGTCAAATAAGGTGTCTAAGACAAGGTTATGGTTATGGTTTGCTGGTTATAATTATGCTATCTGTGTGCATGTATCATTTTTGTATTTAAAAGTTATAAGTATTGGCTCTATACTGTCTGTATTTCAAACTTATGCTATGCTTTTGGGTGACACCCCAGACAAGTTGGTGTCAGCTCTGCCTAGCCTGCTTGATGGCCCATTAAGGATCATCAGCTATACAGCTGACCCATTGAGAGAAGGTAGACACACCTTGTGACTCAGCAAGGTATGCAGGGGCCTGCCTATGGACAGAACTCTAAGGTTTTTCTATGCCATGTGCTGGATAGCGTGTTCTTGGCACAAAGAAAGCAGAGACCACATGGCAAGAGATTATAAAAGGCGGATGCCTCATCTCCATCTGGTCTTCAATCCTGCTTCTTACCTCTGGAGGGACTTTGCTACAAACGGAAGCTCTACACAAAGGTCTGATGACCCATCCCAGCTGTGGATGTACTCCAGAGACTTGATTTGAACCTGCAGCTTATTCCATCATTGCTACAAGCCTGAACCAAGAAGTTTGCCATTACTGTATGTAATTGATTCTATTTAACCAATTCTAGCTCTCATCTATATCTTTTTTCCTTGTATGAATAAACCTTTAGATTTTAGATTCTAAAGGATTGGCAACAGCGTGATTTGTGGGTAAGATCTGATTTGTATATTGACCTGGGTCTGGGGCTTGGTCCTTTGGGATTGAGAGAACCTCTTTTCTTTTACTGGGGTATTGTTTTTCATAACCGTTTGTCCCCATAACGAGTGATTCTGAGAAACTGGAGTGTCTAAGGGAATTGCTTGTGTGACTTGTGGTTAGCCAGTGGGGTAAAACCAAAGTCCTCTTTGTCTGGCTGGTTTGGTTTGCCTTAGAGGTGGAAAAACCCCAGCCTTGGGCTCTAACTGCCCTGCTTTAAGCAATTTGTCCTGAATTGGCACTTTCAGTTGGGTCCCGCCAGAACCAGCATCGTTACAGATGCACAATGTGTTCACAAGAGAAAGTGGAGCAGATAAATATTTTTATCAAAATGTTTGAGGATTATTGGCCCTGGTATGTGATGTGAAACCAAATAGCAGTGTTGTGTACTGACCAAGCTTCCAGGCCTGGAATGCTACATTTCATAAATGTGCAAATCAGACTGTTTTAGGTAGAATCCACAACAATGTCATTTCAAACTCACACATAAGAATGGCCATACTGGGTCAGACCAAAGATCCATCTAGCCCAGTATCCTGTCTTCTGACAGCGGCAAATGCCAGGTGCCCCAGAGGGAATTAACAGAACAGGTAATCATCAAGTGATCCATTCCGCTGCCCATTCCAGCTTCTGGCAAACAGAGACTAGGGACACCATCACTGCCCATCCTGGCTAATAGCCATTGATGGACCTATCCTCCATGAACTTATCTAGTTCTTTTTTGAACCCTGTTATAGTTTTGGCCTTCACAACATCATAGAATCTCAGGGTTAGAAGGGACCTCAGGAGGTCATCTAGTCCAACCCCCTGCTCAAAGCAGGACTAATCCCCAGACAGATTTTTACCCCAGTTCCCTCAATGGCCCCCCTCAAGGATTGAACTCACAACCCTGGGTTTAGTAGGCCAATGCTCAAACCACTGAGCTATCCCTCCCCCCATCCTCTGGTAAAGAGTTCAAACAACACACGGTCAACCTGTGGAACTCCTGTCTGACCCAGTATGGCTGTTTGTATATTCTTATGTGTGGGTTTGAAATTACATTGTTGCGGATTCTATCTAAAACAGTCTGATTTGCACATAGCTCTCCCTTTTGCTCAAGGACAGTAAGAGATTTTCTTCTTAACTTAGCAGACCACGGTCACCATTACCCAAGACAATCATATTTTAAAAGTCTGAGGAGTTGGGACCAAGATAACTAGCCTTGGGAGACACCTGGGAGATCAAAGAAGTTAGCCAGGTGAAACCTGAACTCAACTGAACTGTCCACAAGGGGACTGAAGATCTTCAATTTGCGTCTAGTGGCAGTGTTTACCTGATGTGAGCCAAAAGAGAAAAACATGTGCCACACATTATCAATAAATCAGCTGGCAGCCTACCTCAGAATGGAAGTAACTGGTGATGCTCTGCCCATCTCCTCTTCTTCCCTCTCCCTCCCACTATTTGCTGCCCCAAAAACACGTCATTGTTAGGTGGTATGCTCATGGCATCCGGCTAGAGCCTAGGCTGCAAATGAGGACCCTTCTGCACAGCAGAGAAGAATGCATGCAAACATGCCCTTTTCATTCCCTCAATCCTGGAGCCATTTTGTGCCAGGCCTGTCCCCTGTTGTCGGTAAAAGCAGCCTGCACCATCTGCCAAGGAGCCATTATGACATACAAGGTAATTCAACCAATGCCAACTCTGGGACATTCATCTGGTTACAGTGGGTGACATATACTACAGTGGTTCTTCCCTCCTCTTCTCTTTTACAGTGGGATCAGGACATCAAATGTAAATCAATCAATCATCTCTCCCCTCCCCCCTTCTTCTTAACTCTCTTCTACCTTAAATTAGCTGTATGTCCTAAAACTTAAGCAGATTATAATGTTTTAAAATTCTGATTTTCATTTATTAAAAAGAAATGTTGACACTGGATGCATAGCTACAGAAAATGTGATCTGAATGAACTTAGAAGTGATCTGATGCATATATATATTTGTGTAGTCAAAACAGAGTTTTCTGTAGCTATGTATCCAGTGTCATCTAAAACAGTGGTCTCCAAACTTTTTTGATCGTGCACCCCTATCAGTAAAAAATTTTTGAGCATGCACCCCCTGCTGCGCTGGCTCTACCATTTTTGCCAA